CCCCCCCTCTAAAATCAATTCTCTCCTGGAGATCGTCTTCGTGAGCCTCTCATGATTTCAGGATAGTTGAAACCCTCTTGAACATTCAGAAAGAGTGAATATGAAATTCTAATCACGAAAGGTGTTCTGTGAAGCGCGTCAATTCTCTCCTGGGGAGCGTCTTCGTGAGCCTCTTATGGTTTCAGGATAGTTCAAATCCTATGATGTTCCGATTCAATGCTCACCGATGATCTGAGCCATGGGGCAAGTTTGTTTTCCTAAGAATCTTTTTGAACATTTCGAGAGCACATGTTTGAACATTTAAAGTGCATATGAACATATATGTACGAAAGGTCGCCTCCGAGGGGATAAATCACCATGTCGAACATTGCATTTTTGTTCCTGCCTCTCGTGTTCTCTTCTCTTCCCGCTGTCCTACCTTTCGTGTCTCCCTCCTCTCAAGTTTGTTTTGTTCTCCAAAACGAAACAAACATGAACGGTTCATGTCGAGGAACCCAAAGCGGAAGCCATCCATCAGGTCAAAAGGTCTCACAAAGACGGCACCTGCAGATAACGTACACGTGTTTTTTGCGAACCAATGATCCGCACCAAAACCAAACAGTCAAGAACCCTCCCACTCTGCCCTTGGTCCTGCGGTCCCCTGGCGGTTCTTTTCATGTTTCAAGTTTGATTGTCCTGACTCTTGATGGGTTGTTTGTTTTGAAATATGTACCCACATGTGAGCCTGAAACGAGCAAAGGGACCCAAAGGGACCAGAAACGAGGACCAACCCGGTTTTTCACTAAAAGGCGCCTTGGCTGTCATGAAAGGGGTAGCTGGGCCTTGCGCCCGCATGCCCTCAACCTTCCTGTTCATTAGGGCTCCCCGGTCTGGAATGGACTCCCCATCGAAGTGCATACAATGGTGAAAGGGACGCCGGATATTGTTTGCTTGCAGACCCCAAACAAGCTTTTGCGCAGGCCGATGCCATCAGTAAATGAACTTGCAAAGACTGTCAACTTGCTCATCCCTCAGACTCAGGGTTCTAATTCTAATTCCTTCCGGACATGATTGGCTCAAGCTTTCCGTGCTGGTGATTTGTGGAAGTGAGACGTGGGGAAGTGGCTAACAAATGAGGCTTCAAGTGAATGTAGCAAAATAGTTTCGAGCACAAACTTAGAATTTGGAAACCCATAGACTTGCAGAGCACCATCGTCATTCAGTGGTGTTTGAGGGCTACGGCACTGCAACTCCTGGGATTGGCAGAGGCAACGTTTGCAACGCTGTTTGCCCCAGCCTTGGACATCAACAAAGGAGACTTGTAAGAAGACATTCATTGACGAAATGCACACCTACTGGTATGCTGTGGGTACCCATTTATTACTTAACAATTGAAATGACATATTGTCAATTCCCGATGCTTTTCTCATTCCGAGGCGGCGATTTGCGGTCCCCTCTCTCCACCAAGCCCGGTGACCAAGTTTAGGACTTGACAAGTCTGACCCCAAAGAGTCCAAGTCTGACTTGTCAATCAAACACACTTACTTGGATACTCCAAAGCTTGGTGGCACTCCAAAGCTTTCGATACTAAGACGGAAGGTCGTGTACTCACCACTTGGCGAAGGTGATTCCAAAGAAGAATGCGAGCGTGTTTGAGAGTGTTCTGGGTGAGATGCAGTGAGATGCCATGAGATGCATTGGCAGTGTGGTAGTGTGTGGTAGTGTGATGTCGTTCTGCCAGGTTTGCAAGTTTTCGGGCTGTTGAGTGCAGAAGCTGTTCAGCGTGAACGGGCCCCCAGACAGCTGCAAGTCACTCTGACTGTGAGTTATGTCGCTGGGCAAAGACTGACCAACAGATCTCCAACTTAGGAAAGTTAAGTTTTACTAGGAACAATAAGAAGCTACCAGGAACAAAGGGCATCGCTACTAGGAGCAACGACGCTACTAGGGGCGCTTCTGGCCTACTACTAGTAACAAGAAGCTACTAGGGGCTCCTGGCCTTACTACTAGTAGTAACAAGCTACTAGGGGCTCCTGGCCTTACGACTAGTAACGAGAAGCTACTATAGGAACAAAAAGGACTACCTCCTTCACGTAGTCTTTTCTATTCTCGTTAGCCTTCACATGTCCTTTCTGGCCTTCTGAGGCCCTCTCGTTGGAGCCTCAGCTGTGGCATTGTGGGTCCAGGCTGACTTCAAGCGCCAACAGCAGTTCAAGTGCTTTGAGTACAATCTCACGGCCTTACAAAGGGTCGTTGCAACATGCGAGGTGTGCCACGTGTTGTGACAGGCATCTCTCTAGCCAAGGTCAATTCAAGGCAGCAAAGAACGGAGGCTCCTTGCCGCTTTTCAATTGAGAAGAGTTGATGAACAGGTTCAGCCCTCTTTTGTAGCCCAAAACGAGATAATTTGGCGTTTTTATTTCTTTGTTGCACTTTGCTTGTTGCACTCTTCGCTGTGGGCCCGAAGAGGTCCCTGGCGCTCCTGTGGCGCGGGGCCCGACGAGGCCAGGGTCTGCCAGATCAGGAGCGGCAAAAAATGCAGGCAATGGACGGATAACACAAACAAGTATATATATATATATATACAGAACCTATTTATGCTTTCAGAAAGAGAAGGAAAAAAGGGACCTGAAAACAAACTCAACGATTTTTATTGACATGTTTTGTCTTCGAGTTGCCAACTCTTTCGAGACTCGAATGAGGAGCTCCTCGTAGAATCCGAGCCACCCGAGCCACCCGTGCGGCCGAAACTGAGGACAGGAGCATGAGTTTACATGAGTTTAAATGAGTATACTGCTTCTTGTTGACTTTTTATTTCGACTTTTGCTTTCGCTATTTTGCTTTCCTTTTTTTGCTTTGCCTATACGGCAAGGCTGTCAGCCTACAAGGTGCCCAAGGCTTGGGTGCTTAAGCTGAAGACTTTGACCTTCACAAAATAGAGTGGGTGAACAAGCCGCAGAATCTCAAAAAGAATGCCGAAGAGGGCGGGTGCATTCTGTTTCAACTTTGACTTGAAAAGGGTAGTTCAATGCAAGACCTAGCATAGTAGCATTAGCACAGCGGTAGTCCGGCCGTCACGGCTTCTATGTAGTCTTCCGTTTTTGCCTGGCGTGGCTGCTGGAGGCGAGTCGAAATTCTCCACACCTAACCCAAAGTGGTGACGAGCCGCTGGAGCCCCAGTGCCTCCAAGATGAGCTTGATCATTTTCAGCTTTACACATTTTCTTCACAGGCTTTCGCTGGGATTTCCCCCACTCCAAGGTTGCTTGTCAAGGGTGTGAAGCTGAGAGTGGACATGTTGGCAAAAAGAAATTGCTTCCATTTCGACGTAGGATAAGACCTTCAGGCGGGAAGTGACTTATTGACCCTAGTCGAGGAGCGGGGTTGATCCCAGGAGATTTTGGCAATTATCGCAACATGGGTTCTTCTTCGTTCCGGCTGTGCCCAAGAGATTCCTCACAAGCACAAATATATAGTTGAATCGAAGCACAAATTGCTGAAGTTGCTGGAAGGCCTCGCTTTCAGCCCAACATGTAGAAATACTTGCCGAGCGTGTGTTTCTTTGGAAGATTTTGGATGGCTTCCGATGGCTTCACTTTCAGGTGCGTCCTACAGCCATGGCCTGGATGGTTTGCGTGCAGTCTTCTCGGCTGGTACCAACTTGTCAGCCCCAGTGCCAAAGTCCAGACCTCAAAAAACGGGTGATGCTTTGTGATTGTCAAAGTACCTTCGATGCCGATGCCGTTTCTGTTTTGTGCCGGGTGTATCCGTGAAAACGGCGTGTTGTCCTGAGTACATTGAGTGGGTAGTTCAGGTCGCGCTGGGATCACGAACAATACTATGACCCAGATGGGAGGTCGGTGAGGAGCTCAATATCTGGAGGTACTTGCGATAAGTTATCCGATAAGGCTTCTCACCTTTTCTTGATCGTTCATCACTTGCGAAAGAGACATTTTTTCAAGATGCAAAGCATCCTCCAAGGGCATCTATGCAAAGCATGCAGCCTGTATTGGTTTACCGCAACCCATCGATGCCGCCTTCTTCGGCTTGGAAGAAGAGGCCACAAGCGTCTGAAACAGGAAGGATAAACTCGTAGGAGAAATAGGGTCGCTAGTAGGTTGGAGGCCATCGCTCTTAGGTTGAAATAGGGAGTGGCGATTGGTTTGCACGAGTGACTAGGTGCTGTAGGTGCTGTTCCAGGGCTGGGAGAAGGGAGGAAACTGCCCAGCGATTGCCAGGAAGCTTCCCATATGGATCCTATGCAACGTACATTTTCCCAGAGCATTGAAGTGGCATGTGTTTGAGCGACTCAAAAAGCAGACTGAAAATGACGGAGAATGACTGAAAGACTCAAAAGAAACCGTTGCGGAACAGAACCGCTCTGGCCAAGCAGCTTAGGTTCCTGCCTTTTAGAGGGGTTTGCCGCAGTGTGGGCCTGACTCGACGGGAGGGGCCCAACGAATTTGCGTGAATTAAATTGTGGTTTCGTTGTGAACGTTCACTTTTTCCCTAAGCAGCTTGCTGTTCGGGTTCTATTGGCTTTCAACGAACTGCATTATGTCACGATATTTTTTTCCGTTTATATTTCGATTTGTCTCCCTTCTTCTCCCTGCTTGCAACCTGTCACGACATGATTTCCTCTTTGTCTCCCCACTAGCGACCTCCAAAAGCATTCAGACATTTGGAGCAATACAAGCATGAGTTTTCAGAAACATTCTGTTGCCTTGTGTGAGATGAAGACAAGTGAAGGTTCATTGAGCCACCGAGCGCATGCTATCATGATCATCCGGCAATCATTGCTTCACTGTGAAGAAGCCAGGGAATCCGACCCACAGGTTGCCAGTGGGGAGACAAGTAGGAAGTCGGGAAATCATGTTGCGATAGGTTGCCAGCGAAGGAGACAAGTGGGGAAATCGGGACAGGTTGCCGTGGCCAGACACGCGGGGAAGTCGCGGCCAGACAAGGGGAAAACTAGTCTGGAAATGCTCGGGAAGTCATGCCGCAGGTCTTTTCGAAAGGCAAAGTCATGTTTCTGAGGGCGCACGCTTGCATTAGTGAGTGCGCAGATGCATGTCTGAAAATGGACACAGGCATGCCATGTATGCTTTTGAAAAGACAGAGTTTGATGGTGGAAGTTCAACATCATGTTTCTGAGAAGGGGCGCTTGTCTTGCTCGAAATGCAAAGATGAGATTCTGCAACACACACTCAAGATATTGCATACTGAACTGAATGCCGCTCGCCACACAGCAACCCAAGTAACCGCATTCCTAAGAGTATAGGTACAAAGAAGCTTGAAAGCGAATGGAGCGGCGCCCAACCAAGGCAACATATGACCTCTGTGAAGCCTCCAAAATTGTCAAGTCAAGCTGAAAGTCAAAGTGCGTGACTGCGGTGATGGAACGGATGCGATGGCTGGTCAGCTTGTTCTAGTTACAAGCAACGGCCAGTAGGAATTGCTCAGGTAAAACTGCAGGTGATTGTGGTAGCTTCGTTGAGTGCGGTCCCGCAATCATGCCGCACTCCCCTGCTGTCTGACAAGTACAAATTCAAAGAAGAGAAACAAATCAAAGGATTCCCTGTGATTCCGTTCGCACACACTCGGGATATTGCGTACGGAACTGGCTTGCGGTTTGCCACATGGCGACCTAGGTAACCACATTCCTGAGAAAGTCATGTAAGGGGGTCTGAGCATCCTGGAGGTCCCACGCCTCCCGTAAAAGGAGGCCACAAGAAAATTAAGGTTCAGACCAATGTGCATGTGTGCGCGCAGAACAGACAACAGATGAAGACATGAAAAGAGGACAAGACAGACCGGGTGTATGTGGTTGCAACGGAAAGAAGCTAAGTGACCAGGGACAACCGATGAACCAAACCTCCTGACAACAACCTGGGCGGCCTCAAACCTGGGCTTCAAGTACAAGTGCGCGTGTATACTAACGGCCAGACCGATGTATGCGCAGGGGTTTTTGTGTTTGTGTTTGCCACCGTTGAAAATAAACCAAGCCGAACAAATGCTGTTCGGGGTCGAAGCTGGCGTAATTTGAGCCGCAGTTGTGCAGCAGGATTCACTTGCGCGTGGAACTAATTGCAGTATCGGTGCTGCTAGGCTGCCTTGCAGCACTTGACAATATACTCACGCAATTTTTCACTGCAAGGTCCGATCTGCCAAGATGACGCGCAAGGGCTTGCTCAATAGCTGTTGCGGAGTTTATGTGCGGAAACCCAAGCTCCTGGATTGGTGAGATCAATCCGACTTGGCGCTACATGGTGATTGACTAGATTTTGGTAGCAGCCACTGCACGTTATATTTTTTGTGTTGGGTTCCATGATGTTCCATTGGTTACCTACGGACGCCTACTGTATCCATGTTGTTTCTCAGATCTATGCTGTTGAACCGGTTAGATTCTACAGATGATAAGGTTGGCAGCATGAACTTTGATCACGCAATGTCTGTCGGGGGACCTGGATGACATATAATCTGATGTGGGTCAAGTTTCAGAGAAAATGATAGAAAACTCTATCAGTCTGTGGAACTGAAAGGGCTTGGGCTAGTTTCAATTCGCATCCATGTCCTTGTTTGCCAATTCCTCTTCTTTGTTCAATATGGAGGCAATGGGGATCAACTCGGAATCGACACTCAGTGACGTGACTCCGAGGAGGCTGGACTCTATGATCGCTTGGAGCCTCAGTACCCATGGGACCCACCGCGTAACGCAGCAAAACGGTCGCACCAACGAGCAGAATGCAGAATTGACGTGACCAATCGATGACAAGTATTTGCCGGACTTCATCTTCTGCCAAAACATAGAGATGTGATGTGTGTTATGTGCCGGCTCATCGTGCTGTTTTTTTCATTTTTAAGCCGACGTAGGTGGCAATGTGGCCATGCTATCGAGTAGAATCTCACATGTGCTTGGTTTGCTTGGTCCTCAGAAACCAGAGTTGCTGCTTTGTTCGAGGTACTGTAGTCATGACAGCACATAAACATACATAATGTTTCTTTCGAGAGAAGCTCCAGGCGTGGTCCGTCCCTTTTCATGGACACAGGCAGGGCATGGCGCAAGGGAGAACTGCCGTGAAACGGAGCGCCTTCAGGGCCTCGCAATTTCCGCAAAATGTGAGATCCAGCCGAAGCGCTCTAGAGGTGTGTCGCAATTTGCGAGAGGAGTCGGAGATCACCAGGCTGCTCCTTTCGATGTTTCCAGGCTGCTCCTCCTCTCTGGTAGCTGCTGATTTGGCAGCGAATCACCTCCGCCGTGGGCGGGCCAGCTTGACCTTGGCCCTGGGTACGCCGCCGTGAAGCTGTGTGAGAAGGGATTCACAACGTGTATGAAAAATATATCACGTTACACCAGAGTACCTGTACTTGTACGTCCTAAAGGTGACTCCAAGAGTTCTTCAGATTTTTGAAGCTTGCGATGATCTCATGTTATTCACCTGTTGAAAATATTTGCTTGTTTGCTTTTGTTTTTTAAGATCTTTCTTCTTGTTCTTGGTCCAATCTCTGAGAGGTGTCAACCACTTGCTTAGCCCACTGATGTTCCACGGCCGCTGTGCGATCAACCTGTCTGGACCTGATGGGTCGGCTTGAGCAAACCCATACTTCGCAGAGAACTGCAGGAGAGAGAATCATTTTGAAGAGAATCTCTCTCTCATTTTGAGGGTTTGGCACTGACATGTTCGTTGATTGAGGTTTTCGCATGGATTGAAACACTTTACCAAGGCTTTCACGAGTTGGCCATTCGGCACCCTTCAACGCCACCGCGGATGGATATGTTGTGGGCGAGGGTTGTGGCGCCATCGTTCTCCTGGCCAGTTTGTCGGGTTTTAGATGTTTCGTGCCAACAATCAATGTGGACCCGCCGGAGGGGCATGTAGTTTTCCAGAGAGGACATTTCTGACAGTTGATTTGGACCGCATGCAGTCAAATGCATATTGTCATATTGGTGCTTCCTTCCACATGTTGGATAGATTTCGCTGTGGGGTTTGGCAGCTCCTACCTTAATGCAATGTCATATCAGGTGGATCGCATCCATAGATTCTTTATTAATTCTTGAAGCGATGGCCTCCAACCTACTAGCGGGTGGCCTCCAACCTACGAGCGATGGCCTCGAACGGAACGGGATAGCAATGTCCTCCAACCTACTAGTTCTTTGTTGAAATGAATCAGTTACAATATGCAAGAGTAACTCCTCCTCCAAGTAGTGAACGTGTCAGGTGCTTGGCCGAAGTGGTACGCCGATGGCAATCTACCGTGGAAGCCATGTGGGGCCGATATTTATCAGAGTGATGCTGTTTTTGTAGACGCAAACTCACTGATGAAAGCTCCAAGTTCATGGTTGAGCACAAGCTGACTTCTGCGAGATTGACATTGCTGCTTCAGGTGATGGAGGATGGCCGCCAGAAGCCTGGAATTGCAGAATTGCACCACTCTCTCTCTCTCTCTCTGTTTGCTTCATTCAATATATTGTGGTTCACGGATTTGTGTTGGACTTTCAATATTTTGCAACCACTTTGTAGCATTTTCATTAGATATTGTTTCGGTCCTGTTTGACGGTTTCGGAAGATTATGTTTCTTGTAGCTCTTACCCACAAGAAATCATAACTGCACTTTGGATGCTTTCGAACAAACCTTTGAGACATATCACTGCGGACAATCAGCGAGGGGAACGCCCCCCCTCCTTCACGTGGCCTTCAGTTTACGACATTGTTTTGGGCACTGTCAACTGAAACATGGACCCAAATTCAATACGCCGCAGCAATGTTTGTTGACTGCGTAGCAGCTTGGAACAGACTCGAGACCTTCCTTAACCGCACCCTTACAAAGCAGCTGTTACAATTGATGCCGCAACAGCTAGAAATTTACTTTAACGATCGGTGTGATTCCCCACAAAAGAGATTTCCCTGTATGCTGCGTAATGTTGCAGGCAGCTGAAAGCTGCATGTTGCAAACAATACAGATTGAGAAACCCCTGACCGTGCGTAACTTTGGGTCATTTGGCTTTAGTCGCTTAGTTTCGTTTTCGTTGGCTTTTGCTGGCTTGTCCTGAGGCGATGGCCTCCACCCTTGTAGCACAGGCCTTCACCCTTGTAGCGATGGCCCCCACCCTAATGATATGATAGTGATGGCCTCCCTCTTTTGGCTGATATTCCTTGCAATGTCGTCATCGAACCCAAGTCCTTCCAGGAAGCCAAACAATCCACGGCAATTGCGTTGCACAATCTATCTCTTTGTAACGATCTCCATATAGTACTTTGATAAACACACACGCACAAAACCCTTTGTCCCGATCTCGTTCCTTTCAACAGCAAACTTGTGCGAGAACCGCCCTGAGGCAGTGCCCAGCTCACGGCACCCAGCGGGCTTTGGGCCCAACATAAATCCTACACGAAAAACTCAAGTGACACTTGTTCCTAGTAGCTTCTTGTTACTACTAGTAAGGCACCTGTTACTACTAGCGTGGCACTTGTTCCTAGTAGCCAATCTTTTTTTTTGGGGGGGGGACCCATGTGAGGATTCGGACAGATGGGGGTAAAGGAGGCCTAGATTTCACAACATCAGGGCTGGCCGATACAAATTGATCCGATTCCTTTCCACTCGGCTGTATTTTGTGCTCATCTAGAGCCAAATGTAGAGATAGTTGCGCTTTCGGACATTTTTTGGGGGAACCGGTGGGACTCTAAAGGGAGCCGGAGAGATTGATACCTTGAGAGACTGAGGCCTGCGCAGCAAGAGCTCTTGCGGGAGACCTGGCGGCGCTGCCGCATCGCCAGCTCAGAGCTTGCCCGCTTCTCAAATCCCCAACCCCCAAAACATTAAAACGCTTTCAAATTCAAAAGATTCTGAACGCTTTCAAAAGAGGAAATCGCATCGCATGTACCTTCCGCTACCTGCGGACGCGGAGAGATGGGGAGTCTTGTCATTTCAGCTTATTAACAACGTTCGTGGATCATTTAACTCGTCGAAGTGCCGAAGTGCCATGTCAGGTGGCCTCAGAGTGCCAGGCGTTTGGGTGAGTGCACTGGTTTCTTTACATGTGATGGTTTACATCTCTTTACGCGTCAACCCTCCTCTAAGCCCACGAATGCGTTCTATTCGCCTCGCGGGCTTTCAGTGAAGGGCCGAGGCGTAGGATTCGGGTTAGAGAACGGTTTAGGCGGAAGCTCTCTGGAAAGCTCAGAATCTGTCAGAATCTGTGAGCAGAATGAGTGCTCAGAATTTTGCGTTGCAAAGTGCTAGGCAAACGGCTCCTTGCTGGGGGATCCGATTGAGCTCGGCCCTGAGCCGGAGAAGCAGACTGTAGACGAAGCATAGCACCTTCGGGCTTTTGTAAGCGGGGTCTCACTATCATGACTCCTGCTCTATGGCTATCACAAGTGTCGAAACTACGCTGATTGTGCTCTGGGCTTCAAGATCTACCCACCCAAAATCGGTGCTTGGAAGCTTGGAGGCTGGAATGGCACTTTCCCGTCGGAAAGGGTTCGGTGGTGCTGGTTTTAAGGATGGGAGCCATTGAGAAGGTTCATGGCCCGCGTCCAGGTCGGATGTGGTAGGGAGTGCAAAGTGAAGTTCTTGCAACTAGTATTTTGTGTCCTTATAAGATCTAAGAAGGCCTAATCCATGCAAAGATTGCAGCGGGGGCCTATCCAAGCTGCTCCGTCGCACGTTGTGCAGATCCGTTCATTTTGATGTCGGGCAAGTGCAACAAAGGACATGGTCAAGGCCTGAGTTGCTCGAGGGGTCCCAGTCAAAGACAGTTTGGCAAGGAAACACACTGGGACGGCTTGACTGGCTCGGGAAACCTGTTTTTGATGTTTGAGGAGATTCCTCCAAGCTCCAAACCAGAAATTCCTAAGGCGAAGGAGTCGCTGGTATTACGACCTTGCTGAAAATCCTGTTCTTACAGGAGCGACAGCAAGTTCTACAGGGCGAAACTCAATCTCAGCTGGTTCTCAGAGCGAGTTTGCCGTGACTTTCATGAAACATACCGTACAGTACGTACATACTTTTATTGTGTCTCTCTCTCTCTCTCTATCTCTCTCTCTCTCTCTTGATCCCAAAATCCTTTTACACCATTCATTGCAATCGCTTTCATGGAAGAAGCTCGCACACAAACCTGACGCGACATGAAGTGCCTCCGTGTATTGCTGTTGATAGCTGTTGGGGTTCAAGGGACTTCCGGGTGGTCAAAGGACCTGTCCACCCGTGTCGCCATGATGGTCGCAGGGATGTGTGAGCCTGCCTACGTCAGCCTGCCCCCAGGCTTGACGCAGATCAATCATCCCCAGGCGAAGTGGGGGGAGAGAAGAGGGAGAGAAGAGAGAGAAAACTCAACGGGAGCCTTAGTAGCTCAAGTTGTTTAGGTGTTTTTTCTTTTTAATTATTACTACTATTTTTTAAAATTTCTTTTTCAAAAGCAGGTCTTGACATGGACATCCTGAAAGTGTTGCAGTTTCACCCCCAGTCCTAGCAACAGAGTGTGTGACTTGGTGGCAGGACACCCCATGGAAGGTCGCAGTGGATCCTGCGACCGTCTCCACTGTTCCGGGAGAAGATGTCTCAGAGTCCAGTTTGTCGCATCTGACGAACTGGCAACCCACCGAAGGATCGCAGGGACATCCTGAGCTTTGCTCCTTGGCACTAGTGGGAGCTGCCGTTAGATAGCGATCGTGATGTGCATCCAAGAATGAAATGAAGGCCAGTCTATGGATGCTTATGGGGTGGACAAAATTCTAAGGAAACAAACTTGGTTCTCTGAATCTGAGGCCATCGACCATGTTTGTTTTTCGCTCGCGGCAGCTGTCAAAGCGGTGCTGAATGCCGATATTGCCACCTCGACCATTCGGACCGGCCTGCCGGATTAGATAAGAGTCAGCGCCAGGCTGGGCCCGGTAACTATGACTGGAGAACTGTGAAAACCGCAGAGTATAATTTTTCAGAAGCTAATAGCCAGGTTGGAGGCCATAGCTGGAAGGTTGGAGGCCATCGCTCTTAGGTTGGAGGCCATTGCTAGTAGGTT